AGAAGAGAAAATTATTTAGTCAATGGCACATATTTGCAGCCTTGACCATGAACATGTTCATCAGATTTTTTCAAACTGTTGTGTTTTGAGTATATCCTGATGCCTTGAGGTTCACACATAAATTTCTTCATGCTTATTTGATATGATTGGAATTTAATACAGTCTAGAGAAATAGCTTTTACATGTCAATGTACAGTATTGTTTAATATTTATTCTTAAGGACTTCAATGTTTGTGTAGATACTTGATGCTTGCTTCCTCATTTATTTAATTATTTATTTATTTTATTAATTATTCTCATACACTATGTGCCTTTCTTTCTTTGGAAAAATTGAAACCCCAGCTCCACCTACTTATGTAGGAATGGAGAAAGGGTAATAGATCCTAGATGAATATACAGGTTGAGCCCCTCAAATCTGGCACCCTTGAAACCTGACCAATGTTAGTTTATTGAAATTTCCAAACCACAGAAGGTCAGTTAAAGTCTGCTGACAAAATTCCTCTTCTCTACCGATCCATGAAATAGAACCGCAGTACAGTACAAATTAATAAAAAGTAAAGTATCTTTAATGTCCTTACTCTTATTGTTAAAGATTAAATCTCCATTCCTAGGGACTAGAAATAGTACTACAGTATTCTACCCTAAAAGTAACAAATTTTGAAAATAGAATTCATGAAATGCTTTAGATAGGTTAATACTGTAGTACAGTAATACCCCGCTTTACACGGTTCTCGTTTAAGTTTTTCTACATTTACGCGGTACCAAGCCAGAACCGGAATTCCCACTTTACTCCACTTTACGCGGTGCATCTACTCATATACGTGGGTGAAGTATAATCTTTTTTATTTAGCTCGTAAAATTCATACAAATTACCCGGCCAGAATGTAATTTACATTGCTGGAATTCTTACAATATGATGATCATTTTGAATATAAACATCATAGATTTTGCATTAGACATACAAATTTTAGGTCTAATGTAAGAATTTTGTTTACTCAGAGCAAATATGTTATCTTTTGTGCAAAATATATGACGTTTATATTCAAAATATTCCTGGTCTTGCAAGGAATCCAGCAATGTCAATTATATTATCCTAACTTTAGTCTCAGGTATTATTTATTACTAAAAATGTAAATATACTGTTTAAACCCAAACTTTTCTCTGGTAGGGAGGGAAGATGGGGGGTAGGGAGGGAGGGAGGGACCCAGCGAGCGTGGGAAGAGGTGGGGGAGCCTGAGGTGGGGTATTTTGATTGACAGATGGTGTCTGGGTGAAGTATACTTTTTTTATTTACTGAAGATATTTGTTTTAGCTCATAAAATTCATACAAATTACCCGGCCAGAATATAATTTATATTGCTGGAATTCTTACAATATGATGATCATTTTGAATATAAACATCATAGATTTTGCATTAGTCATACAAATTTTTGATCTAATGTAAGAATTTTGTTTACTCAGAGCAAATATGTTATCTTTTGTGCAAAATATATGACGTGTATATACAAAATATTCCTGGTCTTGCAAGGAATCCAGCAATGTCAATTTTATTATCCTAACTTTAGTTTGAGGTATTATTTATTACTATACCTTAAAATCTAGTGTTTTCCCCCAAACATTTCTCAGAGAGAGAGGGAGGAGCCAGCCAGCGTGGGGGGGAGTTGATTCCATTATTTTAATGGACATTAACCTGGCGACTGTGTTTCTCTTAAATATTAATTGTGTGTGCATACCATCATAAAATTAAGATGTTATTTTTACTACAACATAGGTATTGTGTCGGAAAAAGTGGAATTTGGGAGTCGACCCAGTCTCTATTTCAATTCATCCCATATGTTCTGTTATTCCATTTACGCGTTTCTCGTTTTACGCAGACCTCCGCGGGTTCAAGTGACCGCGTAAATCGGGGTATTACTGGATAAAAAAATGAGCTTGGATTGTGTATGTACAGTCATGGTCAAAGGTAATCATCCACTCCACCACCAACCCCAGCTTGACCCAGGAGTACCGATACTTTTTGTGGCTGTGTCAGTAATTAATTATCAACCTATATAGTGATGGGAATTTTTATCATCTGTCATGGCCCTGGTCTCAAGGTTGCCAGATAAGAGTGTGTGTTTTTGTTTGTTTTATGTTTTACGTAATGGCCTATGTAGAATCTCTCCATTGTTCTTGATAATCTTGTTCAGGGCTATTTTGAAGCCCACTACTGTTCTTACTTCCACAGCTTGAGCTGATAAGACTTTACCATAAGTCTAACATACTGTGTGTGAAAAAGTACTTCATTATATTCAGCCAAAATGACACCTTGAAGTTGTGTCCTCTTGGGTATTATAAAAATTTATATATGCAAAAAACTCATTGATAACAGAATATATCTCACAAATAAAAAATATTTTAACCATCAAAGAATGCAAAGCCATTTTGAAAGGTTTATCATTGTGTTTCTGTGTGGATGAATGAGGGATATATGTTAACTATTGATACGTTGTATCTTGAATACCTTGTTTGGCATCACATGCAACATAACCATTAATAATTTCACTCAGGAGTTTTCTTTGTTGCATGTTGGCCTTATTGCTTGCTGGGCTTTATTTCTTTCTGGGCTTTATTGCTTGTTTTTTTTTCATAAATTAGTGATACAAAGGTAAGAGACAGTGATACAGGTAAGAAAAATAGTGATACAGGTTAGAGAATTGTGGTATAGATAAGAGAAATATTGATATAAGTAAGGAAAATGTGATACCATTTTACGCACATAATCTTCATACAACTCCTTGGTTGGTTTCTTACCATCTTTCCTATCTCATTCACTACCGGTATTTCTCTTATATACAGGGTGTTTCGGAAATACATTTCATAATTCTGGGGGTGTATTCCTGAGACAAACATAAGGATAAATGACCCCATGACCATAGTGTCATTACACCATAATTTCAGAGTTACAACACATGACAGTTGGGGTTGGAATGTGATAAAATCTATGGATGGTAAGACACCAACCAAGGAGTTGTATGAAGATTATGTGCTTAAAATGGTATCACATTTTCCTTTGGCAAGTCGATGACTACAATGAATGAGAAGTATATTATAGTTGATGTAGTATGAATTAGAAATAACAATGAGTTTTATGGAAATAATAAGAAATAGATATACAACACGAAAGACCTAGTGAGTTTAATTCAGAAGATTGATGGATATATACAGGGTAACCCGTGGACAGATCCAGAGATTGATGGCCAGGGAGCACTCATCGAGGGCAAGAAATCAGCTATGGGGTACTGGGGTTAAATTGGTAGCATCTGATTGACAAACTAATGAGAGAAAGGATTACATTCCTCAACTAACATGGGCAATGTTAAGTAGAAATTCAAATGTAAAACTAAAAGAGGACAGTACTGTTAGGGGTTGAGGGTCACCTGCCACATAGATAGGATATCTCCTTGGATCTGCCACTGAAATAAAAAATGCACTACAAACAAGTGAAGGAATATATGCAAGTGAGGTTGTGAGTTACTGATACTCCTGAATGTTGAAAGATCTCCAGAAGTTATGGTTGATTACAAACATTTGTGGAATATGTCAGGATACTATGAAGATATCATATGTTTGTAGAAGATGTGAAGTGATTGTGGTACTCATATGATTTTGATAGATGTCAGATGGTTACGGGGTTAATGTCAAGTGATATAATCACTTGTAGATACTAGGTGATTGTGTTACTGTAGTTGGAACAGGTAATGTTATGGGGCATCCTACTTCAATTCCATACAGCAGGATAAGGGTTCTGATTCTGTTGTATTAAAGTTCAAATTTTAAGGTTTATATATATATATGGCTTGTGAGTCCTTTTTTCTCTCAGGGGTGTTAGTATTACAATTGATTTTTATTTTTTTATTATTTTTTTTATTTTATTTTTTTATAATACCTCTAACCCATGCACTGTACTGTGGCTTCAGTCCTGTTGACAATCACGATTGAAGGACATTTAAAATGGTGTGCTCAAAGCTTATTGTTGATGTACATTCTTAAGGCCCCATGATTAAGGTCACTCCTTTTTGTGGCAGATTCTCTTATCAACAATGTAGATGTACACAGACCAAAGTTTTTTAATTAAAAAAAAAATCTTATGCTTTGAAAGACAGTGAGGATATCATCTTAGTAACTCCCATTGATTGAAAAAATCTTATAAATGGTTTCTTAAGAAATATTTGGAGTTAATTGAGGATTTAAAGCTCACTAGCCTTCAGTATATTCCATGGAAGTGGATGTAGATTGAATAAAGGTTAGCTAGGAAAATGGGAAGCAAGTTGATATGGCAGACAGTAATGGCACAACCACACATACAAATGTGAATTGGATGATGTAAATAGTGATTGAGGAGGCATGAACTTTAGTAGGTGGGCTGTTGTGAAGAGTTTACTGAAGAAATGGTGAAAGACATCTGTTCTGATGATTGTTTTGTTGAACCTGTGAACTGTATGTGTCAGGTGTAGAAATAGTTTTGACAAGAAAAACTGTGAGAGAAGACTGCTTGATTATGAGCTAAGAAAATGATAAAGTGGTGATAAGCAGTGGGAGGGAGAAGTGCTGTGGTTAGATGGACATCCAGATGAAAGAAATAACTAGAAAACAATTAGAAAATTAGATCAGATTGAAGTAATAGGAGGAAAATGAGTTACATAGCATGGAAGGAGAGAGTAATGATAAAGAGAGAAAATGTTGTAGATGTATAGATTCTGACTTTTCACAAAATCTGCATCAACATCTTGTATGACTAAAACATTAAGTAGATTTTGTGCAGATCGTCTTTTCTTTAAGGAATTTTTTTTTTGCATATTCAACTAGTTTGTTAGCTTTTTTAACTTCGAAAGGCATCGTGTAATATAATGGAAATACATAAAAAAACTAGTTTGCTGATACATTATAGTAGATTCACCTTGAGGTTAGCTTTAATAAAATAATTTTTGTAAAGTAATATTTATCCTTGTTTCATTCAGGTGGCTGAAGGTGTGTTTCAAGATGTAAAGACAACTTGGTGGGTTCTGCTGGTTGGTTTTGGTATTGCAATGCTTGTGTCATTACTTTGGATCATACTCCTTCGGTTCATCTCAGCCATCATGATTTGGTTCTCATTGGTTGCCTTTGTTGGACTTTCTGGTTTTGGTAAGTATTACAAATAGTTTGAAGTTGTATTCTTTCAAGTTTTTATCACCAACCCACATTGGGGCTTAGGGAGTGAAAAAAATGAATAAATAACAAAATAAATAAAAAATGAGAAATAATATACAGGTGTACCCTAAAAACCGATGTCTCATCAACTGCCGCTTCGCATAAGCGACGATTACATATTGGGGAAATACCCCATAAGTTTCATTGATACCTTGGAGTTCCGATGACCAGGAGAGGAGCAATCACTTTCCTGACCCCACTCTCTTACTCCTGCAACTTTTCAGGTTAATGAAAATTTTCAATAAGGCACAAACCACTTACAGTATTATGATGATAAAAGTAAAACAATCTGTCTAGATGAAAATAATCATATAGGGTATTGCATTTTTACTATTTTTATTTGATAATTATGGAGACTGAGACTTGAAAGGGCTGGGCTTATGAGGATTGTGGATTTGAGTCATGATAATTCTGTTGGTCCCTGTCCCTGTACTTTCCAAATACAAGTGCCCTCAGATTGATGTATTTCTTTCAGTAATAATATAAAACAGGTGTATGGTTATGGGGCATCAACATGGTAAAAGCAAAACAAACAAAAGATCATTCACGGTGGTAATGGCAATGCAATTCTACTCGGTACTTGTGCAACACATGGAGAAGCACTTCTACCTCGCTTTCTTCTAGGTCTGTAAGCACTTCTCTTCTGCTGATGACTAATTCAACAGTGTCACTATTGCTGAAGCTCACACACAAGCTATCATTTCTGAATTTACTCAGGTAATCTACCAATTCTTCAATCTTCTGTGTCTTTCTGTGAGATGCATCGTTGGAATTGCCAGATATTTCCTCTTTGATGACATAAAACACTACTAGCTAAGGAAGGGACGTGAGGAGGAAAAGTTGTCACAAGCCACAACAATTTACTCGAGCAGAAATCAGGCACCAAACTTAAATTTATGGTGATGAAAGATGTTACGAGTTGGGGATTTAGAATATAGTTAAAAGTCTACCCAGATCCCAACAGGCAACAACAATAAAAAACAAAGACAATCGGACTATAAAAGGGTAGACAAAGGATGCGAGTTTTTGTTGTGTATAATAAAGTACCATAAATTCCTTAACAAATTATTCAGCTTTCTATAATTTACCCTTAACCATACTTAACCTAAACATTAACAGTATATACATATTTATACAACATACAACAATTTTGAAGCAAGGTGGACGTGGGGAGGCAATATAAGATTACAAATACTTAAGTGCGGAGCTGAGATGGCTGACGAGTAAGGCTGAGTATTGTAGAAGACGGTAGGTAGTCACTGTGCCGTAGGTTTCCAGGATAGGTGATCCTGTGGTCACTTCCCAGAGTGAACTGAACTCTCCTCGAACTGGAGCTGACGAAGAAGACTTTGAGGAGGTGACGCAACAACCAGGATATGGAGAAGGGAAACCCCGGAGTGGTAACTAAGAGTAGTCATACTCGGGTTTCGTCCCTAGATGGCGTTGCTCGTGGTGCTGGGTAGGTAGATCAGGACAATAGATGGCGTGGTTTGTAGTGCTGGGTAGGTAGATCATGACAATTGATGGCGTGGTTCGTAACATTTATGGTGATGAAAGATTTTGATTATATAGATGTTGATAATTGTGGGACAAAAGAAGCTCATCATCTATTTATGGTCGCTGTTGTCTTCTCTTGGGGGGGGGGGGAACAACTTTGGTTTATGTAGCTCTACTCTATGGCTGTGAAGGAAAGAAGATTTAACCACTTCTCTGTGAAATTACTGTAGATAAACAAGTAAGCAAATGGGTCACTATCTAAGCTGTTTAGGTTTGAAGAGTGATGTTAGATTCACTAAGCTTTTTTAGGGTGGTGTGATAAATGTACTGAGTGTACCATGCAACTACTGTAGTCTGAACCAATGATTCATTCAATGTACCTCAGTGTGGCCAAAATTATTGGTCATATAGTTGTAATGGTTATGCAGGAACCATCTTGTAAAATGATGAAAAATCTCATGTTTTGAGTCATATCCTTGTATCTCTCCAGATATAAAGTGGGATTTTATTAGTTCAGTTGATTTTCTCTTCTATCTTCTTTCTGACCATGTATTTGTCCACTTTCAAATGAACCAAATAATTTTGTTTATAAAATGTTATTTCTTAAATTCAAATTACTGTTATTTAATTTGATAAAAATTTTTATTTAAGACAAAAAATTTATTATTTGTGGCATATAGACAAAGGCTGTATTGCTTTCAAGCACAGTTCTATCTGTAGTCATTAGTACCCAGTAGTTTTATATTCTTTTAATTATTTTCTTGATGCATTATTTATACAGGAGCATACTACACCCTCAACAAGTATCTCACCCTGCGAAAGAGTGTTGACAACTCTACAATGTCTCGAGCAGAATTTGAGTATACAACAGAAGTAAGCAGATATACAGAACTAGAAACAACATGGTTGATATTATTCATCATTACAGTGACAATCTTTGTGGTCTGTTTATTAGTGCTCATCTTCTTGCGCAAGAGAATTAATATAGCCATCGCCCTTATTGGCCAAGCAAGCAAGTAAGTTTTCTCTATCTGTGATGCATTGGTAAGAATGTTCTTTAGGAAAGTCATATCACTTATTCCTGAGGGAGTCTGTAATAAATCATAAATGCTTTAGAATAGGGCAGAAACTGAGTAACTTTAGAAAATACAGTGGAACCTCTAAAATTTTATTCATTTTGGACCTGGTCCTTTCCAAATTTTGGAATAAATTCAAAGAAATAATGTGTACAGTGTAGTATATAAGTACTGTACAGTATAGCGAGAACATATCTTCTTCTAGTAAACAAAGATAATATTTAGTGCAGTTTATAATTACACAATACAAGTTGAACTCGAGTAGTTCAGGAACTGATGGTTTGTCAGCTTCGATGGTTTGACACAATCTGTATCTGGCAGCCTTGTTGTTAGTTTGTGAAATTTCCACTTGGCCAGCTGTCCATGCAATGCCACTGTAACCAGTGATATAATGAATAACATTGTTTGCAAATACCACAGCTCACTAATAGTGGTTGGTGATTCTATACAGTACAGTACAGTATTTATCTTTTTTTAGCGTATACACTCAAGTACAATTCAAGTTTTTGTGATCAAATTTTTATGCAAAGAGTAGGGCATCAAACTATATATACATAATGTTTTGAGGGATTAAAATTCATGCATATCCGTAGGTCATTTTTGCTGAACGATAGCTACCTGAGACATGCTCGCAGTAGGCTAACTTTACCAGTAGTCTCTTTTATCCTAGACTTGCCTACCATACCCCTAGATTCTTTCTTTATGTTGCTACATGAAGAACTGAACCTCATTCACTGTACTGTATATGCTGCTTTAAATCTACAAATACCCCGATACAAATGAAGACTTACAAATACAGTAATTTTTTTTGCATTTGGAGCTGTTAACATCACTGGTTATTTTTCAACTCATAATTTTGGGTAGATATATACAGAACTTTCTAAAAAAAATAATAAAAATTATACTCGGTTACATGTTTTTTTTTTGTTTTTTTTACGGGAATTAGCCCACCCGGGCACAGTTCAAACGACCCACAACGGAGCCTGGGGGGCGAAAAAAAAGAGTGGAAAGAAATTGAAAATATAGAAAAAAAGAATACGTATACTGTACTGTATTAATCAACACCACATGTGCATGCAATTCTACTTACATATTGTGAAAAAAGTATAAGAAGTAATTATAAGGTCAAACACATAAAGGGAATAAACATTTATTTGGACACAAATTAGCTGGCTGAGCGGGGGAGCAGAGTGTGTGTGGGGGGAGGGGGGAAGACATTGCCAGGAAGTCGGTAAAGGCCATGTCCCAGCTGAGCTGCGTTGCTATGGCGAGTGTTGAGGTGACATGGTTCATGAATGCTGGGAAATATGTACTGGAAGTTGTGAGTTTGTTTTAGTCTTTTAACTTACCATGTAGGCCATTACATTACATCTGTGATAATATTCCTTACATTATTTTTTTGCTTGTTTTTCTGTATTTTATATTAGTTTTGAATTTATAATAGCAACACAAGACTCATCACTAAAGTCACATCCCCCTAGCCCTCTTCCTACCACCCCAGGCCAAGCTGTGAGTTACGTTATGGTTATTTTTCAACACGTAATTTTGGGTAGATACAATATATGTAATTTTCTTCATAGTCCTGCACCAGTCTGGTCCCAAGCTTGCCAGACTAGTAAGGTTCAACCTGTACTGTATTGAAATTGTTAGAAATACCCGGTACTGAACACTTATAAGAAAATAATAGGCTAATGGAAAAATTAAATGTCAGCAGTATTTAATATTCTTGCATAAAGAAATTCCCAAAATTTGGAGGATTTTCTAAGTTTTGGAGTAGAAGGTCCAGGCCAGAAATCATCTGAATTTTAGTTTTCCAAAGTTTAAAATAAAAAAATTCTGAGATTTCTTTATTAATTTTCAGGGCTGTGGGTGACATCATGTCTACGCTGATCTTCCCTGTTGTACCATATTTGCTGCAGTTGATATTCCTGGCACTTTTCTGTGTGGTTGGGGTTCTTCTGGCATCGGCAGGAAAAACTGAATATCGAATCATGTGTTCTGAAGATGGGTGTCAATGTCAAGATATAAAGGCATGATATTGCTACCCGGTTCTTAGTATTCTTTTCATTCTCATTCTTTCTAAAGCATGGAGCTTACCTTAATGAACTTGGCATTCTGTTTTCTACTTTAGTTTTATCATCAACCCACTGTTGAAATGCTTGGCTGTTTATAGATTATAGATCATCATGACCTACTTTCAAGGCTTGAGTAAAATATAATATCCAACCAGTAACCAGAAATTGCAAATCTGACTAACTTGCAATGTGGTTCAAAAAGTCATTGTGTGTTACCTCCAAAACAATAAAGACATATCTAAGCAATGATTTGAGAATGGACAGGCCAAATAACTTCACATTTGCAGGATATATTGATACAGTAGAAAGAGTTTTAGTGCTGATAAACTTCAAGAGCTATTGTTAGGTTGTAAGGTTAATTCCCTTAGCTGTCTCTGTAATCTTGGAATAAAGATAGGAGATATACTGTACAGTATAAGATTGCTGGACTCCAATGCTCTTTTGGGCTGGTTTTCTCACTTAACACAATAGGGTGAAAGCTATTTAAATAATTAGGAAAATGGTTGTACTGGGAGCGTGCTTAAAGGTTTGCAAAAAAGGCTAAGTTCTTGATTTTTTTAAATCACTATTCTAGTGCTAGGGGTAGAGAGTTTTTGAATTGTTTGAAAAATTATGAAGCTATATCCAAAGATTAGTATGAAACCAATGTTAGAAGTAAAATGTTGGTAGAGTTTTTAAGTGTTGGATATATGAAAGTAATATTGTAGAACAGTGTTGGAGATGTGTTAAGAGTATTTTGGAAGTTTCAATTTATAGACATGGTTTACTTGTGTGTTGGAAAGGATTCATTAAGTTAGCATTGAAGTGCTAAAGAATTTAAACAGTGATGGTAACATATGGCAGTCTGTTTCAGATTTACAGTATCCTATTTGTCATTGATTGGCCTATTGGACAGTGGGTTATATCTCTTGTATGTACTGTTGGCAAGTACTGGACATGTACTGGCTCCAGAATGTATCTGTATCTGAGCCTGCGCTGGTCTTGAATGTTCCAAGAGTTTACAACTTTCACTCAAAATGTTGGCCCTGAAAATCTTCTAAACTTGTGATTTTTCAACCTCAGGCTGTGATCTCAAGTGGGGCAGGCATTTGCTAGTTCCAGGTATGAACACACAACTGAGTTATATCCTCTGATGTGTTTATAAATTTCTATTAACTCACCCTTTGCCCACCTACAGTATAAGCTAGGTAACTGCAGGTATTCTAATGCCTCTGGGCACTTGAAGTGCCAGAGCTCAGGCACGAGTTTGTTGACCCTTTTCTGGGCATTTCCAGTCGACTGATAGTCTCCACCATGTCTTGGGGACCAGATGGGAAAACAGTATACAGGTATCCCTTGCTAACTGAATGGGTTAGGTTTCTTGAATACCATTCAGTTATGGAATTTTCAGTTATAGTGCGCTTTTTACCAGCTGAGAAGAAATGACCCGCCCCCTCCTCAAGAGTTACAGCTGATTGGTTGTTGCAAATCTGTCTGATTTCGTCCTGAAGTACAGTAATGATGTACAGTAGAATGTCGATTTGAAGCGATTCATTTTAAAATTATTGATTTAAAGGGACACCCACAATTAAGGACAATGTTTTAATTTAAAGCAAATTTTTCCTATTTTGCGCGAGTCAATCTGGCGCATCATATTTAAAATTTTGCGCCTAATGTTTCTCTGAGCACGCTACACTGTCCTAAGGGCAAAGCTGTACTGTATATGTACTCAAAATGATTACTAAAATTTTTGTCTACTGCAAACTATAGCATATTTATATTCAAATTAATCACTATCTTATAAGAATCCCAGTAATGTAAATTATATTCTCCCCGGTCACTTCTGTGACATTTTATAAGCAAAAAACATAAACTCAAGCTAAAGGACATAAATAAATAAATACTTCACTCGACCTTCAGAGCCAATTGTCAAACATGTCACTCTCACCTCCCCTTCCCCCCTCCCTTCCTTCCCCCCTCCCTTCCTTCCCCCCTCCCTTCCTCCCTCTCCCCCCTCCCCCCCTCCCTTCCCCATCTTCCCAGCCAGGGTTTGGTGTTTTAGGCTTAAAGTTTTTATCTTATATAATGTCACAGACTAAAGTTAGGAGAATATAATTTATATTGCTAGAATCCTTGCAAGACAGCGAATAATTTGAATATAAATGTCATATATTTTGCACAAGAGATAAAAATTTTTGCTCTTTTTATGTCTAATGCAAGCTATGGCATGTTTATATTCAAATTAATCACCATCTTATACGAATTCCAGCAATGTTAATTATATTCTCCCATGTTAGTTCAGTGACATTTTATAAGAGAAAAACTTAGTCACTCTTCAGTACAGATAAATAAATAAGCACTAGACCTTGGCATCAACTGTCAAACATATCACCTCACCTCCCTCCCTCCCACCAGACCATTTTGCATCCCTTAATTTTAGCTGTGTTGATTTATGAGTGTTTGTTTTAACATAATCCTACAAAAAAACAATGTTTTGTTTATTCTAGGAAATGGGTTGAGGTGCATCTGGGTAGACTCTCAGTCTTTTTAGTATTTTGTGTTTCTCTCAAGTACCAAACTAAATGATTCCATCGAAACAACACTTCGATTAAGTGCGAATTCGGTTAAAGGGACCTCTCTCGGAACATATCTCACGTTATATCGACATTCCACTGTATTTCTAAATGAGTTTATTCATAATAGTTGGGATGACTGTTCCTGACGAGAAAGATATTTAGCTAAATTATGTAAAGATACAGTAAACCCTTGAAGATCCGGACCCGGGAAATCTGGATTTCGGAAGATCCGGACAAAATTTGGGGGGTTCTGGGCTAAGAAGCCTCCAAGAAGTTTCCCTATGAAGCATTCCCAAACCAGAGCAAAGAACATTTTAGGCCCGTGGGTGCTGCCTCATCAGTTGCTTGGACACAGGTGCCCGAGGTGGGAAACATAAACAGAGTTGACAATTGTTGTTTGTGGGAATATTATTTCATTCACTCTAGTAATGATACAATGTTTCTTATTATGTTATCACAGGTAAATGCATGGTTTATATACGGTAATTTGTTTATCACTACATTAGTACTCTATTTTTGGTGTTTCTTATATCATTTATTATTCACCAGAAAATTCGGACAAGTGGTCCTCTCTTTTGTCCGAATCTTTGAGGGTTCACTGTACATACATTCGTCATTTCAAACATGAGAACGTAGGAAGTTTATCAGAAATCCTATACATGAATTTACTGTTAAACACTGGAAGCAAATTCACGCTTTCGGAGGACGCATTTAATATATACCTACTTTTACCCACAATAAGGCATACCAAGACAAATTACATATCAGTAAAACTACATTACTGCTGATGCAAGAGTAGACAGCATATTTTAGCATTGGAGTTAAAACAGAGAGATCTCTGGAAAAGTCCAAAAGTTGTCTGCTAGAAGTCATCTGCAGTCATATTTCCCGTCTCTGCTGACGGCTGTTCGAGCGGCCTAGTCTGTCACACTCATCTACCAACTTTCAGTGGCCGTGTAATATTTCAATGTGATTCTGATCTTTTAAAATGTTAGTCTTTGCATAATATAGCATTATTGATATGTAATTTGTCTTAGTATGCCTTATTGTGGCTCAAAATATATATTAAATGCGTCCTCCGAAAGCGTGAATTTGTTACCAGTGTTTAACAGTTAACCGCATAAGTCCAAAAATATGTTAAACTAAATTAAAAAATGGTATAAATGCAATGCTAGCATTATTCCAAAAATGCATAAATTAAATCTCCATATTTGAAGAGGCAACTGTATAGTTATCAAGGTGATTTAGTGAAGCACAAAAGATGTGTTTGAGTAGTGATTTTTTAATTTTATAATTTAAGTATCCATTCATTCCTATCCCTTACTTATTTAATGCCTTGTTTCCAGGAACATGATACCTGCATATTTGAGGATTTTAATAAAAGCTCTTGTCCTGGGGCTTCGTGCCAGTTTTTTGACTACGTAGTTGATCCACACATTCCATGGCTTCATGTGAGTATTGGGTAGATAATATTATTTTGGGCTATACATTATTATAAAAAAATTTTGCTGAACCATTTAGTTATACAAATATACATAAGAAGTATAGGGAGTACATTTATTCACAAAGCTTGTGAAAAGTGTGAAAGGTACAAAATTTTAATGCAGTCCTTTTAAAATATTGTCATGCTTGAAGTCTTTTAATATTTCTTTTTAATAAAAATTATGGTACCATTACAAATGAATGGTAGAATATATTTAAAGGGTACCACAATACAGGCAAAATGAAGGTAATACAGAGAATATTTTTCCACTTTAATATAATCTCCCCGTTAGCCAGACTCTCCTGTCCCCGGAACACTCCAATAGCCAGAATAAATTTTGCTGTTCCAACTGTTGATCCTCATCTTCTTCGCTCTTGCTATCGGTGGTGGTGTCACTCAGGTTACGCAACCCTTCCCTGGTGTTGGTGTAGTCGTTCAGGAGCTGGAATTTTTTGGTTGAGAATGCAGCTTTCACATTGCAAATCAACTCCTGGTCCATGGGCTGGATTAATGACGTAGTGTTGGGAGGAAGGAAGACCACTTTTACGTTGGGGTGACGATCTAACATTAGGGGCGAGTGTCCTGGTGCGTTGTCCAGCAGCAACAAAATATTGAATGGCACATTCTGTCGCTCACAGAATTTTTTTACATCGGGAACAAAACAGTCATCAAACCAGGAGAGGGACAGTGTAGAGAACATCCACGCCTTACGTGCGGTCAGCCAGTGGACATTTAGCTTGGTCATGTCCATGGTTTTGTAGGCGTGCGGCTTGCGTGCTGTGTGGATCACCGATAACTTGAGCTTACAGGTACCGGAGGCATTGGTGGTAAACAGGACGGTGATGCGTTCCTTCTGCATTTTCCGGCCCCGAATCCTGCTGGCATTCTTCACAACGAAGGACTTGGAAGGTAGCTTTTTCCAGAAAAGACCAGATTCGTCCATGTTAAACACCTGGTCGTCACTGTACTGTCCTTCCTCCATAATCTCACGTAAAAACGGAGGAAATTCCCGAGCCGCAGCACGATCAGCACTCGCTTCTTCACCACCAATGTTTATATTGGTGATCTTGTTCCGGATCTTAAACCTCTGTAACCACCCAGAGGAAGCATTAAAGGGTTTGGGCTCTGTAATTCCCATCTTTCGTGCCACTGCCATGTACAGTTCACGTGCGTAGTCCTTAACAGAGCGCGTGTCGACCGCCATGTTCCGTCGCGCCTGACGCACCAAGTACCTCACAAGTAATTTTTCTGTCTTGAGAAGCACCTGGTTGTGAAAATACTTGATCATAGAAGCACCTGTAGACTTTGTGATCTTCATGTGCTCCTTTATCTTGGCTGAATCCTTCTTTATAGTCCGGATCGTAGATTCGTTCACACCATGCTGGCGCGCCAAATCAACCTGCCTTGTTCCTTTCTCCAACTCTTGGATGATGGTATACTTCACCTCGTAGCTTAAGGAACGTCGTGTCTTCTTTGGTTTAGTGCCGCTGGGTCCAGGTAAGGAAAGGTTTCTCTCTGGGGGTGGTGGTCTGGCGGAAGCCATTTTACGGAACAATGGATGCGCGTTTACACGGAGTGGCCTTGAGGGATGAAACTGCCACGGCTAGGTCAAGCGTCGTCTTTCCTCCCTCCCTCCCTCCCCCGGGTGGACACGTCATAATACTTTAAGCCAATTACAGCTAGCAGCAGAGGGGGGTAGGGATGCATGGCCAATCACAGGTCTGATACGTCATATGACGTCAGTGATAACGCAACAATGACACACACTGCGCAACCTTACTGCGCCGCTTGCCCAAGCGGAGGGAGGAGGAGAGAGAGGCAGGCGGGCGGGCGGGCGGCCGGGTGGGGCGAATCTAAAAATAGCGTCGCACCGGACACTCTCCGCGTAATGGGGTTCACGTACCGCGTAATGTGAGCACGTGAGGTTCTGGCAAGGCACCGCGTTAACGTGGAAACGCGGAATGCGGGACTGCGTAAAGTGAGGGTTAACTGTACTATATTTTGTTTATTTACAATACAGCTGCTCCCCGACTTACGACGGGGTTAGGGACCCAAATCCAGGTCGTAAGTCCGAATGGTCGTAAGTCCGAATGGTCGTAAGTCCGACATAGATAAAAAAAAATCACTTTTTTTAATTAAAAAATCTACAATGAAATACAGTACAGTAAAAGTAATAAATAATGAGGAATGGCTACAGTACAGTGAAAGTAATAAATAATGAGGAATGGATACAGTGTGACTGAGCACTTACCTTTAATGTAGTCAGCTGAATGCACATGGGGCCCCTATAATTTTCTAATTATACATGGAGACTACATTAACTGGAAACGTTTCGGTATAGAAAATGCTTGCGTCATTTGAAAAAAAAAAAAATGGTCACAACTGCGGCGGTCGTAAGTCCGGACGGTCGTAAGTCCAAGCAGTTGTAAGTCGGGGACTACCTGTATATTGAATGTGTACAGTGATGTTTGTTCATGTGAGATGCGTAGTTTAGACTTAGAAAACTTTTCCAAGCACCTGGAAACATTCCGGGGATAAGCAATAGTGTCTGTCCATGCGAGATGTGTAGACTCTTGGAAAACTTACCCCAGTTCCCAGAAAAATTCCAGAGATGTGTGATTTTTTTCGGGATGAAGAATTGTTCTTATTACCTGCAGATCTCTCATTTTTGGAAGAGCTCTACACCAGCTCTTCTGGCTAACGGGGATCTATCATTGTATTTAATACAATTGTCTTGAAATTAAAATTAATTATTTCTAACAGGTCTACAATGTGTTTGCACTGTTCTGGTCTATGTTCTTTGTTTCTGCATTTGGAGAGATGGTGTTAGCAGGAACATTTGCTTCATGGTACTGGGCCTTCAACAAATCAGATGTCCCAACCCTGGCAGTTACAGAGAGTTTTGGGAGAACCATTAGGTAAAATCAAGAAGTTGCTTAAAAATGTGTAGTCTCATCTTACAGCATAGAGTACGTGTTTAGGCTCTATAAAAAATTCTGTCACGTACTGCAGAGTAGGCAACTCCACTCACTGCTTAATTGATTTTTTTTTAATACTCGTGTGAATTCACGACTTAACCATCAGTACATTGGGCGTTTTAATATTCAGTCCCATTGCATTATGGTTAATTTTATTAGCTCCATAATAATGAGAGGTAATAGTATACTGTACTCGATTCTATTATACAGTAAGTTCTCGCTTAATGTCTGAGTTATATTCTTGAAAACGCAACGTTATACGAAACAACATTAAGCGGATCAATTTTCCCTATTAGAAATAGATAAAATACAGGAGTTACGTTCCTGAGCCTCCTTTGCCCCAGGAAATACATTACATATACACAAATTCAAAGCTCCTTGTGTGATGCCTGATGAGGTGCTTATATGCATTACTATAAAGTCACCTTTATTGAGATTTTATAAGAGAAAAACTTAAAACTCCTCTACGTAACAGATAAATAAATACCACTAGGTAACCTTGGTTGGCTGGCGGGATGGTACCAGCTGTCATAATACATCAACTTCCCCTCCGACTTCCGGCAAGATTGAAGGTTGTTTAGGCTTACAGTTTTTATCTTATAAAATGGCACAGACTAAAGTTAGCAGAATATAAATTGCATTGCTGGAATCTTTGCAAGACAGCAATAATATGAATAAAGACTTCATATAGTCAGTCCTCGACTTACGATGGGGTTAGGGACCAACGACGAGGTCGTAAGTCGAATTGGTTGGAAGTCGAAAATGCGAAAATAATACATAGATAATCTAAAATGGGTGTCTCTTTTTCTTCTCAGCACCACGAGAACTCCCACATTTATGCTTGCCAGCCATTTTAAAGGGAATTACAAACAAAAATTTTGTCAGTAAACAGCGTGATCATTAATGTCGGGACTCGAAAATACATAATTTGAAAAATATTATATTCGACTTCGGCGGTCGTATGTCCTGGTGGTCATAAGTTGAGTAGGTCGTAAGTCAAGGAGTGACTGTATTTTGCACAAGAGATAAAAATTTTAGTTCCTTAAGTACATTTAAGTACTGTACATGTGTTTTCATTTTATTTTTCAGAAGATATAGTAACTTTCTTCATTTATTTTTACTCATTTACTTGCACACACCATCCTAAATTCATAGTGTCAAAAAGGTAAAATTAAATATTTGTCATTAGGGAGAGGGTGATGCGCCATCAAAAGTAGTCCATGATGACGTAGTAAATGACGTTGTACCGAGTCATCCGTTAAACAAATTTTTGGTCTCTAAAGTTTAGCGACTTAGTACTGAAACAACGTTAAGTGGGCTGACATTAAGCAAGGACTTACTGTATTGTTGTTATTGTTCCATTTCTGTTTTTTTTTTTTTTTGTGATTCCTTTAGAAGTAAAATACGGTTTTCCAATAATATTTTAGTTAAGTGGAGGAGCCCTTATGAAAGCACACAGGCACTATATAATGGCTGTAGAGTATTCACTAGTTTGGGTCATATAAACTTGTGACTGAGAATAACTTTGTAAATATTTCATTGGGTTTTTGTAAAAATATTGCCATGGGAATGAATGGAGAAAATTTCTTGTGGTTGTATTTTGTATGTGAGAGTGGAAGAGTCATTTAAGATTCAAGTTTCACCTGATGACTCATTTCTGTTTGGATTGCAAATATGAGGTGCATACAATTGAATTTCATATCCTCATTTGAAATTTAAATAAGGATTTTTTCAAATATTTTGCAAAACTTTTGGATTTGGTTAGATAAAGAGATTGGGTACTTATGGCTTGGACTGAATTGATGATGTAAAATCCCACCTTGTTTTTATCTCTTCATATTTTAATTTTCAATCTCTTACTTAGGTACCACATTGGCACTTTGGCATTTGGGTCACTCATCATTGCCATTGTGCGCATGATTCGTGTGATAATGGAGTATATCGATCACAAGATTAGAGAGAAAACTGATAGTAAGATTGTCCGATGTCTCATGTGTTGTTGTCGGTGCTGTCTCTGGTGCCTGGAGAAATTCCTCAAATTCATAAATAGGTAAGTTTAACTCTTTATTTCAATATGGAGAGCAAATGTTTTTTAGTTTATATTTTAAGAGACTGGCTTTCTTTGGTTAGTCCTGGACAAACACTGTGGGGGAAATTTTTATTTAATTTTTTTTATTTATTTTTCCACTACATGCTCCATCTCTACATTATATAGTGACTCCTATTTTCTCATATTTTTATCCGGAGTTGCATTCCATAAATTTTATATGCAACCAAATATTAGGGTGGTCCTTATTTTTCAACTTTGGAATTTTTTACCACAGACCCTGCTAAAAGTGTCCATTTAGGACAAAAACATTGTGTGTAGAGTTATTTTTAAATATATTAATATTTAGAGGTTGCTCAAAGCTGTCAAAAATTAAGTAATCGATGTAGTCGATTAATTTGTAGCCGATTACGCCACCACTAGTGCGTCGCATTTGGCACGATTGTGGTGAGTTTTTGCTGGTCGTGATTGATGATTGGGGAAATTAGAAACAGTTCTGCAGAGTATTCTCATTATTAATTTATATTAATAGTTAATTTCTTTATTCCTCAGGTCAAATGGCTAATGCAGGAGTAAAAACACGAGAAAATGTGTATTTGATAAAGACATTATGTGATGACATTACAGGGGCTAAGTTACCTTCAAACAGGCAAGTGCTACAGTATTTTTTAAACCTGCATCGCATACAGAAAAAAACATCAGAGTGGCAGCTGGGGAAGTCACAGACAAAGTTCTTCAGTTTTGGACAAAAGCAAACATTCCCACACACCACAAACCAGATTGTGTGAATCAAGTGCACAAAATGTTTGACAAGTGGAGTAGTTTGAAAAAGAACTCTTCAAGAAAGACAGAAACTCAAAAGCAGAAAGAGAAAGAGTTCACTGATACATTCGAAGATCTCTTTGACATTGCACATGTGAATGCTTTGAATATGATGACAGTTCAGGAGGATAAGGATTTCTTAATAGCACAACGAGAAAAAGGGCGTCGTGGGGCAATGTCATCTCTTGACAAAGTATTCCTGAAAAGACAGAAAGGACGAGAAAACTCTCAAGAAAGCAATGAAAAGGAAGTTGGCTGCAGACAGTGCAGAGGAAGAAGCCAAAAAATGCCAGGCCATCGCTGTCTTGGACAGCAGTAGTACGTCTTCTTCTGAGGAATCCAACCCAGTTCCTGGCCCATCAGCACTTCAAACTCCACCTATTGTCAAGAAGCTTGGGCAAAAAGAAGTTCTAACTCCTGAACTTTCTGCAGCATTAGATCGGACCAAGTCCTCAGATAGAATGGCCATGCACATTGTCACCCAAACTGCTCGGAGTCTGGGCCATGATGTCAGTGAATTGATTCTAAATCGATCAAGCATCAGGAGGAAACGTCAGCATCATCGCAGTAGCAGGGCAGCTGAAATCCTTTCAAACTTCAAACCAGAGTCAGTTTTAATTGTTCACTGGGATGGTAAATTGATGCCTGATTTGACGGGGCATGGGGGCCATGTTGACAGACTCCCAGTTCTTGTCTCAGGCAATGGCACCTCCCAACTTCTTGCTGTTCCAAAACTTCCCTCTGGTACCGGTGATGAACAAGCAAAAGCTGTTGTGAAGGCTTTGCAGCAATGGCACATTGCAGACATTGTGCATGGCATGTGTTTTGATACAGCAAGCTCAAATACTGGTCACCACAAGGGTGCGTGTGTCAAAATTGAGCAGTTGCTGGGTCGTGATTTGCTATATTTTGCCTGCCGCCACCGTGTACTAGAACTTGTAGCTGGAGCTGCTTTTGAAGCTATAATGGGGCACTCAGGTGCTCCTAACATACAGCTGTTCAGAAGATTCCAAGCCAAATGGGAACAAATTGACAAGCAGAAGTTTGAAGACTCCTCCACCGACGATCTGGCAGAAGAATCGGTCAGAGCTGTTAGGGACGATCTAACCAACTTCATTGAGAAGGCTCTATTGGAGACACAGCTTCGAGATGATTACCGAAAGCTGCTAGAGCTGGCCTCCATCTTCCTTGGCACATCACCTTCTCGGGAGTACGATTTTCTGCTCCTGGTGCAATGCACCAAGCACGATGGATGGCAAAGACCATATATTCCTTCAAAGTGTGGTTACTCCGTTCTCAGTTTAAGCTTACTCCAAAGGAGAACAGAGGACTAAGAGATTTGTGCATTTTCTTTACCCGAATATATGTGAAGGCTTGGACAACTGCTCCACTTGCTGCAAAGGCACTAAAAGGAGATCTGATGTTGCTTAAAGCTCTACAAGACTACAGTACCATCACCGATGCCACATCAAAGGCAACTTTCCACAAAATGATAAGACACCTCTGGTACTTGTCAGAAGAGTTGGTTGCATTTGCCTTCTTTGATGACGATGTTCTCCCAGCAGTGAAGGACCGCATGTTGGAAGCTATGAACATCATTATTGGAGAAGAAAAGCATGTCAAACGGGTTACAATCAATCCAGACACACTCCAAGTGAAGAACCTATATGATTTCACGACAAAGAACACAAAGTCATTTTTCAAAAAGCTCAACTTGAATACAGATTTCCTGGCCCTCCCAGTAGAACAGTGGAAAGATGATCCTGGCTTCCAAAATGCAAAAGCCAGTGTACAAGCTTTGTCTGTGATCAATGATCATGCAGAAAGAGGAGTAGCCTTAGTCCAAGATTTCTCAGACCGCATCACCAAGGACGAACAGCAACTGCAGTATCTACTGCAGGCAGTTGCTGACCACAGGAAATCATTCCCTAATGCCCTCAAGCAGACCTTACTGGGCGACAAAGAGTGAGACAGGTCCTCATGCGACCCCTGCCTTGAGCAGGTAATACCCACTTAGACTAAGTGGGGGGGGGGGGCCCAGGCTTGGGGGCTAGGAAATGATGTGCTATGAACATTAAGCATAGGCATAATATTGTTAAATTTCATTTGACTTGAGCAACCTCTAATTATTAAGATATTTAAAAAATATTTTACAGGCAATGTTTCTACCCCAAATGGAACTTTTGCCAGGGTCTGTGACAAAAAATGGCAAATTTTGTTTTTTGCCCCAAATAAAGGACCACCCTACCAAATATCAGTCTTTTATACATTTTCATCTTGCTTAGATAGCACATGTTCACATCAGACATAATTTTTTACTTTTAGTAAGTAATTAATGACTTTCACTTATGTAGCAACTAACCAGCATGTCTCCATTTGTCTGATATGTATTTAAGAGATGGTAATTTTATACCTCATGGTGGTAATTATGGCCTTCTATGGAACACAGTTTTTTTGAGAAATATAGGCATCATTGTTTTTCATACTCATTCTTTTATCATCACAAAAATACTTATTGTCTACCTGTTACTGTATTCTCTCACACTTTTCACAATAAAAAATAACACATTTGGGAGGCTGATGGTAAGAAACATCATTAATAACACATTTGGGAGGCTGATGGTAAGAAACATCATTAATAACACATTTGGGAGGCTGATGGTAAGAAACATCATTAATAACACATTTGGGAGGCTGATGGTAAGAAACATCATTAATAACACATTTGGGAGGCTGATGGTAAGAAACATCATTAATAACACATTTGGGAGGCTGATGGTAAGAAACATCATTAATAACACATTTGGGAGGCTGATGGTAAGAAACATCATTAATAACACATTTGGGAGGCTGATGGTAAGAAACATCATTAATAACACATTTGGGAGGCTGATGGTAAGAAACATCAATAACACATTTGGGAGGCTGATGGTAAGAAACATCATTAATAACACATTTGGGAGGCTGATGGTAAGAAACATCATTAATAACACATTTGGGAGGCTGATGGTAAGAAACATCATTAATAACACATTTGGGAGGCTGATGGTAAGAAACATCATTAATAACACATTTGGGAGGCTGATGGTAAGAAACATCATTAATAACACATTTGGGAGGCTGATGGTAAGAAACATCATTAATAACACATTTGGGAGGCTGATGGTAAGAAACATCATTAATAACACATTTGGGAGGCTGATGGTAAGAAACATCATTCTGCTCTACTTAATAAACCAGTAAACTCTGTGTATAGTTTGGAAGATTCTCTATTTTTACTAATTCCACATTAATCATTTTCAGGAATGCATATGTCTACTGTGCCATCTACGGGAAGAACTTTTGTGTGTCAGCCAAGAATGCCTTTTCACTTATCATGAGGAACATAGCCCGTGTGGTAGTACTGGACAAAGTAAGCACTTCATCTAGTTGATGGTTATATACTGTACCTTTTTTTTTTTTTTTGAATAATCAATTCCCAATTTCTGATAACAATATAATCAATAATGCACAATCTCTTTCAAACATTACCGTCACAGTAAAACATATTATCATCCTTAGTTAGCGTATGTTATATATATTCTCTCTTTTTTCTCATATTTGGTCTCTACGTGCATTGACATCCATTTATCACACATGTACTATGAAGTTATTTTTACCTTTACACTGGGAAGAAAGGGTAGCAAGGGTAATTTGATTTCACTTGGTTATTCTTTATGTTTCCACACAAAATCCAATGAACTGAACTAAATAATTACAAATCTTAAACCACATTGGCAAGTATTGTAAGATATCTGGCTGTTTGTCTCGGGGGAGGTCTCTACTACAGTAAAGCCTTCGATAACGACGGTTCAACGAACGAAGGTTCACATCTAAGACCTTGGTTAATTTAGAACCCAATTCCATTTATGCCATTATTTTCTTCATATTTACAACAAAATAAAAATAATATTACATTTTTGTATAAATAATAACCAATTCCCGATATTATAAAAAACAAAATATGCCTTGCGCACGGAGGCTGCCGGGCTTGTTAGAGGTGACGCCAGCATCACTAGTATAAACAATCGCAGCTGGCGGATCCTTTTGTTTTCACGCATCTGAACAGGAAAAGGAGAAAAGCTTTCTCAAGTTTCTTACAGCATTTTTGCATCCCTATTCAACATGAGCAAGTTAGCAAGTGATGGTAGTGTTGTTTCTAAAGCTAATAGAAAGTGTAAAAACTTAGCTGTGAAACTAGATGCGTTAAAACGATATGAAAAAGGTGAGAGGTCTCTGGATATTATATGAAGCAAGCAATGAACATATTTTCTGAAGTGGGTCCATTAACAGAACAAAGCATTAAAATTTAAATAATGCAAATCACCTCTACATAAAGATGTATAATGAGAAAAGAAAGCAGCTGTGCAAGGTTCCTTCGACAGCTTTATTATTCGAAGGCCTAAACCATCAAATTCAGCATTATAAGCAGCTTCAACAACAACTTCAGGTTTAATAACAGTTTCAGCAACATCTTTATGGAAAGCTACAGCTTCAACCAGAGTTTAACCTACAACTTCAGCCAGAGTTGAACCTGATGACTTTGTCATCTGAGTAAAAACTCGCGCAATATCATTGGCTGTCCTTATGTTTTAGACTTTACCACTATTGGTGAGTAGAATTTTTTTTTTACATTCGTAAGTATTATTTAAAACATATATGAACAGTAAATGAATGTTGCTTTCATATTCATATGTAGAGAAATGACAATACGTTTTCACATGTACGCACTAACTGTACATATATACGTTGGCATTCCCAATCGTCTCGCTATATTTCTTTACCATTAGTGGTTAGCTACTTCTAGTGTTCCATTTATTAACATTAAATAACATTACAGTCATGCGCCGGTTAACGTCCTAGATACGTTCTTGGAAACGTGATGTTAACCGAAATGGACGTTGTCCGATCATCACATAAACTTTTTATTTATACTTATGTGTATGTGGAATACTATATATGTACATATACACTTTTACTGTTAAATCACTATTGTAATGTGATACAGGTGATTAATTTTTATCTCTTGTGCAAAATACATGACGTTTATATTAAAATTATTCACTGTTTTACAAGGATTCCTGAAACGCCGAGCAGATGGGGGAGAAGGTGGGAGCGAGCGAGGGGGCGTGGGGGGAGGGGAGGTAGCACGTTTGACAGTTGGCACAGGCCCAGGTCTAATGCGTGTGTATTTATCAGTTCTTAGGTGACTAAGCTTCTCTCTTATAAAAAGCCAGTGAAATGACCTGGGTGAATATAATTAACATAGCTGGGATTCTTGTAACATACTGATTAATTTGAATATAAACATGCAATAATTTGCACTAGACAAAACAATTTTAGTACCGTAATCAAATTAGTACATGTACACTCCAGCTTTGCACTAAAGTCATTTACAGTATTTCTTTTACGTTTCTTTTAGTATGGTGTGTGCATGTAAATGTATGAAAATAAATGAAGAAATTTATGTAAATCTACCCAAAAATACAGTAAACAATTTTTTTTATAAAATGTACTACAGTGTTGTACACTAATGTACTACATTTTTTATATCTTGAGCAAAATATATGATGCTTATATTCAAATTAATCTCTGTCTTGCAAGGATTTCAGCAATGCAAATTATATTATCCTAATTCTAGTCTGAGATATTATATAAAATAAACATAAAGAAATCACCAATCTCTTATCGTGAACACGAGGGTGGTGGGAAGAGGGGGGGTGAGGGGAAGGAGGTGAGGTGACAGAATGTCTGGCGTTTGTTTGTTTATTTATTTGAGATAAGATTTGACAGTTGGCGCTGAAGGCCTGCCTGCCTGTTTAAGCTCTTCTCATAATTTTCCACCCAAACGACCTGGGTGAATATAACTTACATTGGAGGGATTCTTGTAAGATAGTAATTTATTTGATTTTTTTTTTTTTTCAATTTAAATTTTAATTGTTTATTCCTTGATAGAGGAAGTGGAATCCTAGTGCTGTCACTTGGTACCCCTGTACCATAACACCAGAAGCAACTGGCCAGTGTCACAAGTATATACAGTACAGTACAGTCATCCCTTGGTTATCGAGCCTAATTGGGACCCCGCCGATAACGAAAGTAGAGAACCTATGGGATTTATTCTAATTGGTTCATTTACCTAAGACCCAACCCCAAGTTTCCCATTTTATGACCATTTAGATCCACTAAATATATATATAATGTTATGGTAAATATCATAAACACACATAGGCATGGCTAGGTTTATTACAAAGTGATGAAAAGGGTACGCTTAATACTGTAGTCCACAAAGCATGTAGCTATGTCTTTCTTTATTTGAGTCCCCCATCATAGGAGTCCATTTTCTCTCGCTTCAGGACGCCTGAGTCCTTTGTTTTCTCTCAATCTTAGAGTGCACCAGAGTTTTCGTTATTTCTTAGTAATGACACAGAATTTGAAATTGCAACCCCAATTGCATCTGGGGTTGCAATTGTTGAGGCAACTAGATATGTCTGATTACAGCAAATGTGTTATTGTCAATTTGTAGGTGAAAGATTTTATCCTCAATAGATGTAGGTTAACATTACACCTGGAGGCAAATGCGTGATAACCAAATTCTCGGCCTGAAAAATGCGCTATAACGGCAGGTGTGCAGATTTTGATGGAGGCGTGATAACGAAAATCTCGATAACCAAGTGCGCTATAACCAAGGGATGACTGTATAAATAAATATTATAAAGAGGCTTACTAAAGCCTAAGGAAGAAAGGATATTCTTTTAACACATAATATCTGGCCAGTATGGGGAGGATCATCGTGTCTCCATTAGGGAATCGTGGAGTGGTAGTCCAGCAGGCGTCACGGAAGCGTTGTGTGTTTTTTATTTATTTATTTATTTTTTTTTTTTTCATGGGCCACGGATGTATATGCGGTCGGACGTTGTTCGGTTGGACGTTAACCGGCGCATGACTGTATATTAGGCGAGAAAAGGAGTATGTTAATCTACACCACGGAGATGCCAGAAAGCCATCTTTTTAAAGTGAGACAGATTGTATGAGTATGGGAACACAGAAAAGGCAGAGCATTCCACAGTTTGGCTGTGTGAGGAAAGAAGGATGTACTCTAATGGGTTATTCTAGTGTGACCGACATCCACACAAAAACGGTGGGCACCGTAGGCAAGACGAGTGCTACGAGCCCATGGCCTTGCCGGCGGTACACAGGATGCTAGAGCCACCGAATATTGCCCATTAAAGTACCCTGTACCTATAAAAGAGAGAGGGTGACGCAACATTGTGGTGAAGAGAAAGGGAAGAGATATTATTGACTAAAGGAGAAGAGTTATTAAGACGAAATGCCTTTGATTCTACCTTATCTAACAATTGGACAGAATAAGAACCACCCCAGATATGGGAACAGTGCTCCAAGTTGGGATGAATGAAACCCTTATACATTTGAAGCAACTGCTCAGGAGTGAAGTAGCTACAGCATCTGTACAGCATTCCCAGCTTTCAGGAGGCAACTTGAGCAATGTTGTGGATGTGTGGCTTCCGTGACAAATTAGAGGAAATGGTGTGGCCTAGCATATCAGTTTTTTAATTTGGCAAAATGGTTGCATCCTGAAATGTGATTGGTGGGAGATCTTCTATTTTCAAAGTGCAATTGGTAAATGCTGTGTTTTATTACTATCGAATTTTACCTAATTTCAATGTACAGTGCTACAGGCTGACCTCACAAATTTGTATCTCATAAAAACTCATTTTTTAACACTTATTCCACTATATAAATGATGTGGCTTAGAAATATAGAGAATATAATATAAAACTATAGATAAGAAAAATGAAGAGCATGGGTGTATATGTGTGGGAAGAGAACATAATTATGTGGAGGTGGTGGTGGGCTATAACTGTGTAGCCAACTCGCTAGCCCAGCTGTCGCATTAATCATTACTTTTTAGTGAAACTGTAAAAGTTGTGGAAAAGTCATTGCAATACTCTAATGTGGCTTAGAAATAAATAAGCGATAAAACTGTAAAATGAGAAAAATTAGTCAGCTGGTTGACTGCTTAGCGGAAGTAAGTCATGTCTTCCAGAGGATGGTTTGAGTGTGAAAGGAGCTATTTTTTGTACATAAAATATGTACTCTTGTATTTTATGATATGCTATGTATTGTTTATCATAGTTATAAATATGGCAACTCATTGCGAACAGTATTCAAACTTACATTACTAACTGAGTTAGAAGGAAATTTTATTTTATTATTTCATTTTGGTGCTAGATAGTTGAATTTACCAGTTGCCTGGATAGCAGATAACTGGGATTCTACTGTACTTTGCAAAAAAAATTAAAACCTAATGCTTACATGAATTAATTATATGCTTAGCCAATTTATACTACCAAC